GAAAGGGACAGTTGACTATTGCTTGACTTACACTGGATACCCTAATGCTATTGAAGGGTATAGTGACGCCAATTGGGTTACAGATTCTAACAGTGTAAAGTTCACATCTGGATATATATTTCTTTTTGGTGGTGATACTGTATCCTGGAAATCATGTAAGCAAACAGTAATTACCAGGAGTACCATGAAATCTGAGCTGGTTGCTCTTGATACCACTTGCACAAAAGCAGAATGGTTAAAAGATCTACTTTTTTGAACTTCCTTTGGTCCCTAAACTCTTTCCTCCAATTTCCATTTATTCTAATTTTAGATCTACCATAGAGCTTTTAAAGCAAGTGCATGTAAATAAAAAACTAAACAGACATATTCAAATAATATATATAAATCTGTATAACGCCTGATAGGCAAAGTTGTGATCTTGGACTTTGTAAAGTCTGAGAAAAATCTTGCTGCCCTTTTGACTAAGGGATTGTCCAGGAGTGTGGTTCTGGATTCATCGAGGGAGATGAGGTTAAGCCCATAAGGAAGGTCACTGACAGTGGTAATTCTACCCTTATTTGGAGACTTAGTCCCAATGTTGGTTCAATGTGGTAGAAACAAGCAGGACTAGTAACACTCGTGTGGAGCATCGAACCAGATATATTCATATATCACTATGTAGCTTGTGCTACTACCCCTTCTCTATGATGATGATGCTCTTATGCCAGATATATTCATATATCACTATGTAGCTTGTGCTACTACCCCTTCTCTATGATGATGATGCTCTTATGATACAGCTGGCTAGGCTGAGTGCTTGTGCTACTACCCCTTCTCTATGATGATGATGCTCTTATGATACAGCTGGCTAGGCTGAGTTTTACCCTTAATAAGTCCAACGTGTGTATTATGAGGGTATTAAATAAACAGTTGTAGTACCCTTTGAGGACTTACCTACGTGAGAGGAACCGTGATGGCCGCGGTTGGGGGGGCTGGGCTAACCCCTAGAAACTCTCATGAGTCGGTTATTGTGAGCATGGCCTTTAATGCTCAACCCGCTTTGCTCAATAGATGAAGACGTATTGTGTGTGTTTTTGTCAATACCTGATTTAAGGGGCCTAATTCAAGGCCTAGTCCATTATGTCCCTCAGGTGGTGATAAACTCACTAAGAAAAGGTTCAAAGCCGAAAGCTACCTCTCCCGAATTCACGATACGAAAGGTTGCTCAACCTATATTTGTTTTGTGATTTATTGGTTTATTAATTTTGTATTCTCAGTCAATAGTGCCTTTTAGGGGGACTGTTGGATTTTGTTCATGAAAAAGCAAGTTTGCCTTTGTGAATACTTCCACATTGGAAAATGAAAGGAAGTATAAGAGGTTTATATTGCTTCACTTCACATATTGGGTTTTGAGTAGTGTTTTTGGGTTTTGTATAACACACACGCGCGTGCATGCACGCACGCCACACCTCACCTCACTATGCCGCCGCACGCACGCGCCACGCCACGTTACACCGCACACACACGCGGTATTGCCTCTCAAGTTTTATTTTTTGCACGTTTACACAAGTTTGTAACGGTTGTGGGAGTTATGGAAACGTAATAACGGACGCGGGATTTCTGTGTAACGTGCGCGGTTTATCAGCAACGGCTAAAAGCTCTAGGGGCTATATAAGGAGCTGAAGTTCATTCGGAGAAGGACACAACAACAAGAAGA